TACAAAATTATCTGTTAAAAAAAAAACTCTCAAGTTTACCTGTCTTGTAATGAATAAGTGGCAACTAGATGAAACTTAGAAAAATGAAATCATATTGTGGTCTTAAAGATTAGGTTCAGATTCTGATATTTGACCATGTGTGTGTAAGTATATGATCATGTGGAATGGGGGTGCAAGACCTTGGAGCGGGATAGAGTGGGAAACACTGGTTATAGAACATGCCCTTTTTTTTCCAAATTTTAGGTAAATTTTTTTTCATAATACAAAAGGTGGTAGTCATTACTGGCAATAAATGAGTATTTGTAAGTCAAGTATGGACTGAATAGCCTTGTGGGTATATACTAAGTCATTAGAGAGAAGGCAACTATAGCTTTCCAAATACAAAATTCTCGGCACCATCAAAGGCACCCTGGGACTCCAGATTTTCCCTTCTTCCTTTGGTGGAAACTTGACCTTTACTTTCAAGAGAGAGCTATAATGAATTTTTCAAATATTAAACTAAGAAAGTCACTTAAACTCCTGAACACCCAGATACATTCCTCCTGTCCTTTCCAACACTTGGCCAGAGGACTTTCCTCCCTGTGCTCAGACTTTATGTAACTTATTAATTTTATAATTCAAGCCTTGAATTAAAATATATATTGAATGAAAATATCTACATATCTATGTTTCTATATAAATAAATATTATATATGRTATTTTAAGGGATTTCAAGTGAAATAGGCATTAATTTAGGATTTCCTAACATCAAAAGAATGAGGCTTGCAAAAAAAGGAAAAGGAACTGTAGATTCATTTTGAACTTTCTATTAGGTATGGTGAACAGCAGAGGATTTCAATCATCATCAGATTTTTTTTTCAGGAATAATCCAAGTATACAAAGTGGAGGAAATAATGACAGCATATTTTTTACTCTTGGAAATCATGCTGTCTGATCTGGCACTMTGAAGCCTAATCAACTATCTTAATAGACCTTTAAAAGCAACATGATTTAATCCGATCGCATCAGGTGCCATAATTGGAAACCAAAGGCATATGATCCTTTTCTTATATTTTTCTTTACATGATAGGATTCTTTTTTTTGCTGTTGTTGTTTAAAGAGAGAGCGAGAGAGATAGAGCGGTAGAGAGAGAGAGAATTTTTAATATGTATTTTTTTAGTTTTTGGCGGACACAACATCTTTGTTTATATGTGGTACTGAGGATCGAACCCGGGCCACACGCATGCCAGGCGAGCGCGTTACCGCTTGAGCCACATCCCCAGCCCCTACATGATCGGATTCTTGCAGGGTAAGTTGCTGTGAACATGTAAGACCAGAATGGTTTCAGAAGAAAGAAATAGAKAAAAGAGTACATCTTCTTTGCTAGAGCACCTGCAAACATGAGCTCATAAGACATTGGCTTCATGTCTATCAAAACAACTCCCCAAAAGGCAGGCATAAGGGGAAAAAAATAGCTGCAGGTATCAATCATGTGTTGCACAGTGCATCCAACAGTAGACTGCTGAGAGAATTGTTCTCACCCAGGACACTTGACCTATCAAGTTCCAAAGGTGGAGGCCAGAGGCCGAACTCCAARAATGTTTCAAGTTCCTTCTGACTGCTCCCAGGCAGAAGTACCACACTGTAGCTTGAGCAATGAGAAGCGCATCTTGTGACCAGAGAACCACGCCTAGAACCATCCTCATCCTAAGCACATTCTTCTGAGGACCATCTCAGATAACTCCTATCAAATTTTTAGTCAGCCTCTCTCACACACAAAGCCCAGGAGACTTCTGTCAATGGTCAGRATGTGGCCTTTCCTTTTTTACCTGGATGGTGTTCTACAGCTACTTTTCCCTTCCGTTGCATCAACTTTTACATTCTATTCCTTGTTCTCAAGTTCTAAGACTGCTCAGACTCAGATTCATAGAGATGATTTTTGGTCTCTTTGGGAAGATRTATTTCTGCAAGCATCATGCCATTTACAAAGCATATGGCAGAAGGGAACTTTAGATAAGGAYGGTGACTGAAATTGCACTAAGTTTTGCTTTGGCAAGGACATCAGATGGATGCCTTTAAGATGAAATGGGTCTCCTCCAGCCTTTTCTTTTATGCATGTCTCCAACAGGTGTTTCCTGCAAGGCATATATCTGTTTTCCATAACATCAGAATGAAGAAAGATGTTTGTGACAGCTTGTGYACATAGATCATGTTTTCATTATGATAGAATAGTGTACAGTGATTGATTTGCTCTTCCAAGTCAAGTTAGAGTGTTCTTGGGACATCATCTWCCATTTTCAAAATGGGCATTTAATTACCAGACCAAGGACTCTTCATCATAGGAGTAGGGAGAGGGTGGAGATGAAAAGAAATGGAAAAAAAGCTGAAGAAAGTAACAAGAAGGAAAGTAGTATTATTCCCCGTGAACTCAAATGGAAAGAGTAGAGAAAAAGGAAGCCCTTTCAATGAWGATAAAATAGAAATTTCCAAAATGTTTTCAAAGTATTCAGGAAAGACCAACTTGGGAACATTATGTAAACACATATTTTCAGAAATCTGAGGGATAGTGTCTAAGAAGTTACTTGTGGAGAGAAAAAGGTTCTGTTGAGTAAGTAATTCAGCCAGTTCTCCAAATCCTGTTAAAAAAAATCAAAATCAGATTCAGGTCTTAAGTGTGTTTCCTTGTGAGACCCTTTCACAAGGTCAGCATAAAGCCACCACCATGGTTCTGTCTAGTACCATTCAGAGAGCCATAGGAGTTAAAATTCAGTACTGGGGCTCATGAATTATTGATATTTAAACCACCAATCATATTAATTCAAATGAACAAAGAATCCATTTTAGTCAAGCTGAACTTGAGGCTTACATTACATCTTCTGGATGGTTAAATGACTAGAACCTACTAACTCCACTACATTTATAAGTAGGCCTTCAATGCAGAGGTAGACAAAGGATTTGATCAAGGTCTTGTCTGATCTCCTTAATAACTGCYCTCTGCTTTTCCAAACTTTTCTCTAGAGCTCCACCCTCCCTACTCAGGTTTTGCTGCTCAGGTTCCCCCTCCCTCCCATGACTTTTGGTCTGAAACTTCTATAACTTTGAATAAGCTCTTTTATCTGAAAAAATGTGACTATCTAGGCACTTTAGCTCTCAGAAAAACTCCTAAAACTCCATCCAGCACACATGACATTTGGTTGTATTTCTTCCAAGATGTACAGAAAAATCTCACAGGAGAGTGATGTCATAAGCTACTGATTACCAGGGCTGAAGGTTTAGTGTCATTGGTAGGTCCCAAAAGGTACTTCAGCAATTAGTAACAAATATTTTTAAATAATTAAATCAATTAATCAAATGAGTAAATAAMTATGTAGATAAGTAAAAAGAGTTTTTGTTGTTAGATAAATTTGTGAAGCACTGGATTATACAATTTTTAAAGGGTTTCTTCATTGTATGACTTTTGAGGACCTTTCATATGCTGAAGTGTAGAGTGAATCTCAAAAAGGGATTTTTTTTCAAACTTCAGAAAACAATCCCTCAAAACTTTTCCAACTACTGATAGAATATGGTACATGATTTGGGGAAAAGGTATTTGTGTCAGTATAGGATGGACTTGTGCTTACTTAGCAAATAGGCAATCTCTGAGGGCTTAGCATGAYGAAGGCTCCAACATAGGTCAAAGAGGCACAGGTTCTACTCCCCATAACCACTCACGCACCCAGGCTGATCTTCTCTATCGCAGGTTAGGACAGAGTCTGAAAAGTCACATGAGGGCTTTTCACTACCTCAGTCATCCCTTCTTACATTTCACTGRACAGAACTTGTCATGTGCCTCCATATAACTGCTCAGGAAGGAAAGAAGAACGGGGTATTGTGAATAATTGTGTCTTTGATCTCAGCATTATATTCCTGAGCTGGTTTTACTATTTGTCAACTCTTTCCTTTTATCTATAAAATGAGGGGGGGATGTCCTTAAAGTCTCCAGCAGAGATGAAAATGCTCACCAAATATGGCAATTGTTTCTCATGTCCCCCAGTCCCTTTAAATTTAACAGGAACCATGTGACTGGTTCTGGCACCATGTGAGCAGAAACTATATGTGTCACTTTGCAAAAACAATTAAAGGCCTAGGCTTGGTTTTCCACTTCTACTACACTACGAAGGATGCATGTGGCCAAAAGATGGTAGAGCCTCTTGTTATCCCAAGGCTCTGAGTGACTGTGGGAAGCCAAGGCACCTGTTCCCCAGAATAAACTATACAGTGCACTGAGAAATAGCCTGTGCTGTGTTTTGGCCCCTGAGATTTTGAGGTTGCTTATGCAGCCTAAGCCTAGTTTTACCTGGCCTATCTGGGTCGATTCTATACCCTAAACTTTCTAACATTCTAGAGTTGTTTTTTTTTTCTGTTCTCTAATAAGCACATGTGCATTCCTTAGCAGTTGAGTGGGATTTTCCAAGAGATCATCAAATTCTTTCAGTGGCGGAACATACTGCAAAGCAGTATTGTGCCTAACTGCAGYGTGGGGCTATCAGGTGGAGGCCTTTTCCAAGAGTAGATCAGGATCAGAGCAAAGCCTAGACAAATGCAGGGCAATAAGGGAAGCTGTAAAGAATGCAAAGTGCATTTAGAAAATTGGGAAGTTTCAATAGGGATCCATGAGGAAAAAATAACAGAAAGAAGACAGGAGAAAAACAGAATAAGGAAAAGGGCTACCCATAATTCAATCTCTTACAGCCTTTTAAATTCTAGATCAAGGTGCCAACAACACCACTCATGATTTCTGCCAAGCAATAGTGGCATCATAATAGTAACAAAATTAAGAATAGAAATAATACCTTTAAGGCATGTCTAATCTAAAGAGAGAGCCGGATTTCCCCCCCCTTTAGGAATTAGTGTTTCTTCAGCCATGAGGTAGTCTGGGCAGACTCTACTTTGGGCTCCAGGCTCTGATGAGTTTCACAACTTGGCTCTTTACACTGGAGCCCCAAATGGTCTCAAACTAACTTTTCATTCTCCATATTTAGGACTCTTCCAGGCAATACAGAGCAAGAATCTGACAAACTTGATGGCTCCGGCATGTTTCACTGGTGCAAAGCAGTCCCTTTGGAAATGGTAACTTTGGTAGGTGATCTTGCACSGCCTATGAAATAAAATACACCATCCGTCAGGGTAAAGGATGTCAGGATGTCRTTCTTCTGATTATAAGCACCTGTCATTTTCCTTTGTAAATGGTGAATTTGCAAAATGAAATGATATGCAATATAGTCCCTGAGACATTTGACAAAGACTGCRGGGATAATATGGTGGGATTTGAAACACTTTGATTTCTTCAACTGCACCTCCTGTTTTAACACTTTAGCTGACTCAATTATTTAGAATAATGCTCTTCTGAAACTTTGAGGTTTTTCCAGTAAATCTAATTCATTTAAATCCACCAGGAAAAACCTACCGTTTACAAGGACTATGCAGTCAATCCTTTGTTTAAAATAAACAAACATCTCCCCCAAATTACTGGATTTGAAATTTTACTTTTAGAATACCTTTTTTTTTCTTCAAGCTGGCCCTGCTTCTATTACACACACTAGCCAAAATATGTATTTCTTATATACAACCTGGGCAAATTCTATTAGATATGGTTCTGTCCCTCCTGCTCCTCTCAAGGAAAAAAAACTAATCAGTTTACTGAAATGCTAACAACCAAGTTGTAAGAAGCTTTGCATCCTAACCCAGGCTGTTACATCTGTTTTCTGGATCCCCATCTATTCCCATTTTCCAGAGTTAAAAACTCAAGCATAATTTCAGGTTTTTTTTTCTCTACAAAAGTAACTGATACGTTTAACTAATAAAAATAATTGTTTGCATCTGTATGAACCCTATATGATTTTCTTCTCTATGACTAATTTATAATCATAATTTTTTTTGTTGCTTTCCAAAAGTAGTTTAGTTTCTTTTTCCTTACTCACATTCACATAAACACAAACATCTTTGTGGCTCAGTGCCAATGTCCTGACAGAATATGTTCCAATTTCTGTAAAAGTATGATCAATCATTTAATCAGAAGTATCAAATTGTCATAGCTGTCATATCAACTGGAAGACTATTAGGGTTGCTGAAACACACCCATTTTAGCAATTAGGTCTTATTCTAAACTATGCAAAATAAACATCCGTTGAGCAGGAAGCCAAACATGTTTGCAGTGGGAGGCAAATCTTTAGAGAGAAAGGTGTAGAAATCGAATTCTGATGAAGGCAGCCAAGAGACCAAGAAAGAGAAATAACATTTAATTAGAACATATTTATGAAGCACAAATTTCATAATTTTCAAATAACATTTAATTAGAACATATTTATGAAGCACAAATTTCATAATTTCACAAATTTCAGGATAGATATTTCCCTGATGATAACTTGATATGGAACATGGGTCACTCAGAGCAGCCACTGAGTCCTTTAAGTGTAGAAGGGCCTTTTAGTTTTAGAAATGCTAAGGGTTTTAAAACTTGTATCTGTAAGGGAAAAGTTTCCAGACTACAAATTTCAAGAAGGCTTCAAACTTGGTTCTATTTGCAGAAGGATCAAGCGGAAATATTCAGTTTAAGCTACATCCTCTTCTTCCCCACCAAAARCCACCATCTTTCTTAATTGGGAGACAGTTTTGTGCTCCAGTTTGTTAAAGAAATCGCCTCTCTAGCTGTGCCCATAAATGCATTCCGCCATGGATCTTGTTTCTAATTGTTTAGTTCTCCTCAGAAGAGTAATTGTTGGACTTCAGGCATGTTACATTAAATACCATTAGAGGCTTCATTATTCAAGTTAAAACTAATCAGATTAACTGCAGACAATTATTTAATAGATTTGGTTAAGATTCATATCACTCTCTAGCAAAGCTCTCCAGACAAATAGTTTTATTTCCCCTCACAAGAAGATCCCCTTAGAAAGAGAGTATTCCCCAGTATTTGCTAATCTGATCAACTTTAATTGGGGAGATGTCAGATGCTCCTTATTTATCCTGTTAGACTTTGTCCAGCCCTGTTTTGTAGAAGTTTGTCCTTTGACCTGAAAAACAACAGGCATAATAAAGAACGACATATCCATTTGAAATATTGTACATCTTTATGTGCCTAGGAATGTAGAACATGCTCACATGTGAAATTCAAATGCATTTAACTTGTTCTCTATCAGCTTCCCAATGTCCAAGTAACATTCAGATTGGATCCATAGTTACAAAACAACAGTTAATCCCTCAAGCATGATGCTTTCAATATGTTGTTTAATTCCCGCAACAAAATTAATGTTTATTTTTATGTTTTACCATTTGAAACATAAAGAAATTGAGGGTCAGAGAAGTTACAGTGACTTGTTTATTCACATGGCTAGGGATAGAGCCAGAATACCTAGTGGAGTCTTCATCTTCATGTCCAGTGCACTTTGCATTCCATCTCAACACTATAGAYGAGGCATCACCCATTCTCTGAAAGACTAGACAGATGCCTAAAATAAGGTTCCTACAGGAATATCAATTTTTCACTTACACTTGCTTTTAATGAGTCTCTATGAAGGAGGAGCCCTAATCTCAATATATGTCCTACAAATTATATTATATTCGTCTTAGAAACAGAARTGATGTTAATAATTGACGTGTTTAGGATCAAATGGCTTTTTTGTAAACTTTCTTTTGGGTGATTGGCATGATGAATTTCCTTGACTCAGGAAAGTTTATTGAATCAGTTCCATGTATTAGGTTGAGCCATATGAAATGGCCAATACTCAACCATTCTTGACCTGCAAAAATGCAATTCCACGTGGTTCAAACAACTGTATGAAAAACCACTGAATGACTCAACATATTACAAACTTAATATAATTTTCAGGGCTCTCCAGCAGACTTAAGTTTGACAATGGAATTTGGAATCTCAGCTTTTCACAATCAGACTATAGCACATATGAGGCTAAACACAAATAATAAAAATTAAGAAATATTTTCCCTATTTGACCCAGTRGTTTTAACATTTTGAAAACTAATGTTGATCTGAGTTTTACTTGATTCACTCTAGGTTGATAGGAAACTAAAAGAAGAAAAAGGTGAAATAAGAAGTAATTTCACAGAAAAGACTTAAATTATAATTGCACCACTTAAGCCTAAGTTGCATTTTTATAAGCAATTTTCAAAACTCTATTAACTTTATGAAGGTACCACTGTGGATGTACCTAGACAGGATGAGAGTAGGTGTCCTCCTTGCRGGACTCTTATCTTGTTTATGAAATGACTCAACTTTGGTGTGCTTATCCTTAGAAACGATCTGAAAAGTCAAAACATGATTTTCGGAACCACATCATAGCGTGCATATTTGGAGATGCCCACACAGCCCTGATGGGGCTTCGGAACTTTGTGATGCCCCTAAGAGCTAGCAACTATACCCGGCAGGAGCTGAAAGACATTGTGTTCCTTGGGTCTCTGGATTACATGCAAAAAGAATGGCGATTTCTCCGGAATTTCCCTCATATATATATTCTGCCTGTAAGTATCATATAAGGAATAATGAATATTTATAATGATAATAATACTAGAATTAATAACACAACAGTTTGCAATTGTATTCTGCATACCAAGGGCCAGAACTGTTCTAATTATTTTTAACTGTATTAATTCATTTAATCCTCAAAATGACCCTAGGGGATAGATATTAATGATGTTGAACTTCAAGTATGGAAAGAATAACTAACTTGCTGAAGATAACACAGCAATTTAAAAAAATAAAATTTATATGTAGACATCATGGTTCCCGGGTTTTTGCTCAAACTCTACCATATTTTATGGTATTTATACAAAGAAGAGTTTCTCTGCATTTCTGARATTGATTCTTAATGGCCAAACCTAAGCCAATAGTCTTTGCACTCTTTCTCATCTTTTTTGGAGACATCTTATATGGAACACACTGTGCTACATGGTCCCTTATAAGTGTAGGAAATGTTGGAATTGGGTTTACATTTTTGAGATATAGATTTTCTGTAATTTGACTATTCTTCCAAAACTCATGTTAAACATATCTAATTGCCATTGTAACAGTGTTGATAGGTGGGACCTTAAATTGATGATTATGTTAGCAAGGTTCTGTCCCATGAATGGATTCAGTCTGTTGTCATGGGTGTGGGATTAGTTATTGTGAGCATATGTTTCTAATATGTTTCTAATATGTTTCTAATGAAATTTGGCTCCATCCTCTCTTGTGGGTATGTGAACTCTTGCCATTTGGTGCCCTCCACCATGATATGATGCAGCAAGAAGGGCTTCACTGGATATAGGTCTTCCATCTTGGATTTCCCATATTCTAGAATTATGAGAATTATCTTTATAAGTTACCCAGTCTGTGATATTGTATTATAGCATCAGAAAACAGTCTAAGACAGGATCCATTTAGACAGGATGCTTATGTGGTATTGCAGTTCCAATCTATTTCATTACTCTCATGGGTTTTATCCCAATGTATGCTACCATTTCCCTAGATTAAAAGTCTACTATGTATGCCAAAGCAGTTGGAATTTTTCTAAAATAATATTGGCAATATGCAAGCAATATTTTTCAAACTTCAAAAAGGTTTCTCTCAAAAATCAAATTACGTTTGCTCTATTAAAAAAGACATCACAGGGGCAGGGGTTGTGGCTCAGTGGTAAAGCATTCATCTAGCACTTGTGAGGCCCTGGGTTCCATCCTCAGCACTACATAAAAATAAATGAAATGAAGGTGTTGTGTCCAACAACAACTAAAAAAAAATTAACATTTTTAACAACAAAAAAAAAACATCACAAGTTCTCTGTTCCACCTCCCTTGCTTCAGTTCATATGATGAAGAAAAGAAAATGACTAGAAGTCTCATATCCAGCTAGTATATGGTATTACCAATATTAGATTCCATGTTTCCTGAAGATAGATAGAACTAGATCATTCCCTATTTGTCCACTAAAGGAAAGATGTAACTGCCATGTTGCTAGTTAACCCAGAGTATGCATATAGGCTGGGTTACTAGCAAGATTGCAATGATGCAAAATTTTCATTCAGATCCATAACCTCTCCTTTCTCTGAATGTTTTCTCACCATTGTCACCATACACTACTTCTCTTCTCCCACTTAAGTCATGTAAATGAATTCTTACTTTCTCCACACTGCCTGCTTTTATCTCATCCAAACTTGCTCTCTGGGAAGGGTCTTTTAAATCTCTTCACAACAAGGTAATAATGATTAGCATAAATATGTCATATATCAAGTAAATAAGTATTTAGATCAAGCCAGTAGATGCTGGAGATATTTGAGTGTGCAAATCACATCACCCACAAAGACCTACCACCATGAGCCATGATATCAAATCCTTGCATCTGAAAAGTTCCTTCTCAATCTGGTTTTCTCTCATCAGGGATCTGCACTCTATCCTGCAGACCTACAGGCACTCAACATAGAGAAATGTTCCATGTGTGCTATCTTAGCACCCTCATCTAAGCCATCGAGCAGCCAGACTCTGGTAGACACAGAGACCATCATGGCCACTCTCAATATCGGATCACTGCGGATCGTCCCCTCTACTGAGAAACATTCAACAAAAGGTCAGAATAGTACTCCTGATAGGAAGAGGCTAGGAAAGATGAAATAAGGACAGAAAAGTAACTCCTCTCTGAAATACTTTCATTAGGAAATATAAGAGAGGTTGGTTTAGATATCCTCAAAGATTCCTTCTAACTCTGACAATACTGTAATAGGAGTAGCCTACAATTATTTTCTCTGAAATTCTAAGTCAAATGAAGACCAATATCCATCTTCTAAAAAAATTCATGTAACACTGTTTTCCCATTTTAAGAAAAGAAATCACAGAATTCTAAGTGCTATTATTTTTGTTGTTATTAATCTAATCTCAGTGAACCTAGAAATTGGCATGTTATAATAAATAATGGTATTATTATTATTTTTCACTGAATCTATAGATATTCAAGGTACAACTCTTAGTTTCATGRTTGAGAAAAGGAATTGTAATTATCTTTTACTATTCAAGATGCTTTCAATGTATTAATTTCAGGAAATTATCTTAAATGTCCTTCATACACTGTCCCATTTCAGAATCAGATTGGGAAGAAATAGTAAGAGAACAGAGGGGATCTCTTCAGGGTGGAGATCATGTATTTTCCTCTGTGGATTCCTCCTAGCACCYGTACAATTACTATCATTTATTAGATGCTTAAAAAATACATATTGAATTGCAGTAAATAAGCTAGTGGGCTGRACCAAAATGTTACTGAGATTAATCCCCACTACAAAGCTGTGATTTTCCTTCTTCCCACTAACTGGGAAAAGTCCTACACCTTAGTATCTCTCCAAAAATTGACCACCACTCAACTGAATGTGAAAGTACTATTACTGCAGAATATTCTATATCTAAAAGAGACTTACGATTCAAGAAATAAAAATAAAACCTAATGGAAATCACTTCAAGATGAGACACTGGGTCCTCAGGCTACATCGCTGCTGACCACAGCTTATCCACCTTGTCTGGTACTTAGAGAGTCAGAAACATCAATGACAGTGTAAGGCTCTCCATGATTRTGGCTGTGGATAAAAATGTTCACAACTGGGAAACCAAAGGAACCCCAACGACCACCTCCCAGGTATCACTGTTAGTCAGGAATATAAAAGGTTTGGGGGGCAAAGGAATAAAGGGGCAATCTAAACTTTGGTAGCTGAACAGAGCTGGCTACACATCCCCACTAAGCAATCAAATCCAACTCAAGATTTCACATTCAGAGTTTTAAGGGTTTTTTTTTGAGAATAGATCTAATAAAAGAGTACTTCATGAATATCAAAGTGTCATACACAGCTCAAGTGAGGAGATGTGAGCCTTTCTTCTTTTGAAAGAATCAGAAGATCTATAAACGGGCTATTGTGTTGTGCCACAGGATTCCTTAGTTTAGCAAATAGAGTCACTCCTCACATTCACACATGATGTGTGTGTGTGTGTGTGTGTGTGTGTTTGTGTGTGTGCATGTTGTGGTTAGATGCATGCATGCTTGCAAGTGGACAGAGAAGATGTGTTCACTTTGAAGACAGTATCATGCATATAGAAATGAAAATGTGCACACTATGTAAACCTGATATAAACTGACACCATCATAAGCTATCTTGTTAATGGGCTGGATGAATAGTCCTTCCTATTATTATTTTTTAACCTCACTTCCTCTATGTGCTAGGAAAACATTAATATGTGATCCTAATTCTGGTTTCCCTATATTTAGTGATTTTCATATATTTATTTATTTACTCATTCAACAAAAATATGYTGATTTTGTGTGATGGGTCAGGTACTTTGTTACAGTCTAGAAAGTAGCCCTTAAGGTACCAATTGACTGGTTTGGTAGAAGGAGATAGAGGAAAGAGTGGAATAGGAATAGAAAGAGGAAGAAACAAGGAAGGAATGTCAAACTATTTGAAAGATCAAAAGGACTGAGCAGGCAATTTCCCCAAAGATAAAAAGAAAAGTATGAATGGGATTTTACCCATCAGAGTGATGGGAAATTTGGGTCCACATAGACTCTAGCAACCTACCTGACAAAGCTCATCAAGTCTGTTTATCTGATAGTAAGCCATCAATGAAGTTTTAGTAGGAGCACATTTTGAGGAGACACATGAATAATTGCTCAGGAATTTCTCCAATTTCTGTAGCATCATAAGAGTTATTCTGGAGTTTGAATGTAGAAATTTCTAATCCTCAGAGAAGCCTCTTTGTCCCTCTTAATCAGTCTTCCCTTTCCATAGTAATAATCCTCTTGCACCATATTGATTGAAGAGGTGTAACCTCTCCCCTTAGCATTGAAAACATGAAGGATTGTGCAATCCCTCCTCACTGAGTACCTCGAGGGGTGTTTTCTTTCCCTTTCCTTCAGCCAGTGGTTCTCAGCCAAGGGCAGTTTTTCCCTCTGACAGTGTACGGTGACAGCTTTGATTGTCACAACAAAAGGGATACTTCCAGGATTTAGTTGGCAGAGGACAGAAATGCTACTGAACCTTTTCCAACTCAGAAGGACAGCTCCATGTGATCAAGAAATGTCATCAGTACTAAGATTGAGAAACCTTGTCCCAGCATATTTGTGAGGTCATTGGGCTTGTCCACATCTTCACACCGTGACAAACACATTTGAAGTTAGGACAGAGATTCATACAGCATGTTAGGTGTGAGGGAAGAACAGAGACAGGGCTCTGCAAAGGTTCCTAAGAACACCAGGCCTCCTGGACATCTTCATGGCAAACCCAAAGGTTTTTCAGTAATGCTCTAATTATTGCCCTGTCATGTCACAAGAACAGGTTGGCAAACCTAGGTACTGAACTAAATAATCTGYGGCATAATCTAAACATATAACGGTAATTAAGTCTGACAACTTAATACGCTACTGAAATTTAAATGTACAGTAGTAATCTACAATTAAGCAATCTTTTGTAATAGCACCCTGCCAACCTGGAAGATTTCAGGTATAATACAATGTACTATTAGGCAGCAAAAATATTGACATTAGTAAAATATACTCAGGCTATGATCTGACGCTTATTCAAATTAACCATCACTCTATAAGGGAGACAGAATTGAGGTGGGAATTCCGTTGCTGTCCTTCAATCAACTTTGGAAACAGATGTTTTATGCAGTCACCTTAGTTAAAGTGGATGTTTCTGCACACWCAGAGCAGCTTTCTACTCCAAGTAGAATTCCCGAGTCCTCTCTCAGCAGGGAACTGGAGTGAGAAAGTAGGATTCAAAGGAGGGTTTCCCCGCTGAGATGTTTCCCCTTTGAGGGAAACTGATCCCAATATTTTACTAAGGCCAGCTACACATTGCATATCGAATAGAGGGACAAAGTGGGTACTCTGAGAAGGACATGAGCTTTGAAATGGGTGCTGATCAAGAAACCCCACCCATCAGTTACAAGCCAGTGACAGGGGACAAGGTATGCCAACCCTGAGTTTCTCCTTATTCTCCTGGAGGATCTAGTCACACTCGGTTCACAGAGTTGATGTGACGGTCGTGTAATTCTCTTTTCACCTGGCAGTGTCTACTGTTCACAGCCACCAGAGGGATCCTTTACAGATATTTATCAGATAATCTCAGTTGCCTGATTTAAACTGTAATGTTGACCAGTAGTAATTATACAAAAATCATATAGGGTCTTGTGGGCTGACGGGGAGTTTGAGTTTCCTCCTAATTCATCCTGTTCATGCCGGACCTTCCCTACCTTAGGTCTCTTATTCCATTCCCTCTGCCTGAAAAGGGCTGTTTCTCATTCCTCAGGATTATGTTCCGCTGTCAAAGATGCCTCCCTTTGAGCCCCAACTGGAGTCACCTCCCCAACCTCATTTATTCGTCTCTGAAGTCTTTTGGGGGTTTTAGAGGCATGACTATCTGAAAAAAAAATTATATTTGCAACCTGTGACGTGTAGCTGGGTCAGGGAAGTAGATATGATTTAAGTGTTTGTAGAAGGGAAGGAGGGAGGAAATGAGGGGAGGAAGGGGAAGGAAGAAAGGCAAGAAGGAAGGGAAGAAGGAGGGAAGGAAGGAAAAAAGGATGGAAGAAGGRAGGCAGGAAGGGGAGGGAGGAAGGAAAGGAGGGATAAAGCAGATAGAGCATCTTGTACATCCCGAGAATAAGGTAGAATTTCAATTCCCTCAAGTATTCCTGCATTATAAAAATCTCAGAGATTTTTTTTTCAGTCCATCAACTGTAAGATTTATCTCTAGCCACCAATATAAATTTACCTCTTAAAAAACTGTGGATCCAGTTAGCCCTCCAAGCTTCCATTTCTTCACCGACAACTAAAGGGCTTTAGGAAATTCCTGAGGTTGCTGCTGGTTCCAACTGTAAGCCAAGTGCATGGGGTTAATTATGGGAGCTTCTATATCCATGACTGTATCAATGACTCAGAATACTAGTGAATGTCAGAGTGATATTCAACTCCACTGTGCAGTGACAAGAAGTGTCTCTTTTACTGAATACTTCTTGGGGAGAKGGAGGATGTGTTAAATACTGTAGTGCATAGATTTCCATCTGGGGGGAAAAGAGATCTACCTTTGGATTTCATCTTTTCCCCTGTCTCGATTTCAGTGGCTGGATTCTCTTGTCCTGTGTCTGTTCTCAGAAGGCCTCGCTGACATGCTCATCTCCATTCACTCCCTATCCCACCTTCCCTACCTCCCCTCTCCCTTATGGATCACCTAGCTCAGTTCAATAAAAGATCCTCTTACTTTTTCATTCCCAAAGCAATGGAGAATCTTAATCAAAAACAGACTTTGAATTTTTACAATATTTTTTTGTCTGTTACATAGCATCCTCAGAAAAGTTCAAGAACAGGGATCAACAGTTTTGAGGCCTCACTTATGGTGAGGTAGTTAACATTTTATTTATTTATTTATTTATTTATTTATTTATTTATTTATTTAGCCAGGGATTGAACCCAGGGCCTTGTGCATGCAAGGCAAGCACTCTACCCACTAATTAACTTTAAAAAAATGTACCCTCATTTCCCATAGCTCTGTCTCCTTTATACTTTTTCCTTTAACTTGGAGACCAGTATTCTCATATCATGCTTTTTAAAGACTCTTCAAAGTTCTCTACTTGAGGAAACCATGTTCCAGGCAGGTGCTGTATGTCATCCCTCTTCTAGAGTGGAGGCTCACACCAGATTGAATTGTCTTATCTCCTAAGGCAAAAGGAAAATTGTTTATAGACTGAACACAACAGTCAAGATCCCCAGGTGGTACCTCACCCAGTCAGCTCTGCTGAGCAGAAGGAAGACATACACAAGTGCCTCTATCCAGAGAAGATCTCCAAGAAAAGGATACCAGGAGACAGAATTCATTTGCCATGTGTCCAAAAACACGGATGGAGCAGCACTGCCACGTTGTGAATGGTGTCCTAAAAGTTCTATAAGTAAATTAATGTGGTCTGAGGAACTGACTGAGTTATTACCCAGCACCATCACATCATGGAGGAGAATCATATCTTAATTATGATGTCAATAAGCAACTCCAAAGAGAGCTTTGACAGTTTTTGCAATCCAGTCAAAGTGTTCAAAGTGTTGTTTAGAAAATATGCACATAAATGTACACACACGTACATACTACCCCTCTCAAAAGGAGATGCCGAGGAGACCTAAGTATAATTGGCTATCTTCATCTGATGGATCCACCACACCTGGGATTACACCCAAACACAGATGGAAAGTATTTGGAAAAAAACTCTTTACAGACCTGTTTCTACACTAGTCTCTAAACAATGCAATATAATATTTAGGTGCGTAGCATTTGCACAGTGTTAGGTATTATAGGTAATCTGTAGATAAAAGATATGGGAGAATGTAGATAGGTTATATGCAAACACTGTATAACTTTATAAGAGGTGTTTTGAAAAGAAAATAAAAGAAGGGATTTGAGTAATCAAGGGTTTGGGGGTTTATGGTGTTTCCCAGAACCAATTCTCTACAGAAAAGGTACAACTGTCATATACTCTTTTGTTCTAAGTTTAGAAAAAAAGATTTGGGATTTGAGCTTGAGAGCAAATTCGTTAAGATAAAGCATCAATTCACATTGTGTTCTTATACATCCTTGTCAAGGTTTGCAAGCTATTTTATTTACATTTGTGCTCTCTTTTTTGTTGTTGTTGTTGTTGTTGTTGTTGTTATTGTCTCTGTCTACAGAAGTGTGTTTGCTTGACTTCAGAGACTCTTGTGGGAAATCAAAATACCGACGAATCCCCACCCTCACTGAACTGAGTAAGTTGGGTTTCAAGGGCAAAAATTCAAAGCAGAAATCTTTATGATGCATAATTGATGTCCCAAGGTTCTTTTTAGAGTCCACAGTCTCAGGACTGAGGAATCGGAATGGGACCTAAAGGGCTTTCAGTGCTTGGCTTCATGTCATGGTGGGTTTTTTACCTGACTGCTGACTTCGTCTTGAGGAGCCTCTTCTATCTTGGTGTCGGGGAGCAGGAATCATGCCTGACTTCTCCATTCTTCTGGATGACAGGAGAGGGAGGGAGGCCAGTAACCAGCTCAGTCTTATTCAAAGGCAGGGGACGTGAACCTGAGGATTGCTAGATCTCCTTGTAACTGTATCTAGCCATCATGAGGCTTCTCCCCATGACTATCTACCCATCGTAGGCAGATGAAGCATTCAAGCTGCAGACTTTGAGGAGGTGCTCCTTCCTGAGGTCATTAAATTTCAACTCCCAAATATCTCCTTTGCATCATCTGAATCCCAACCCTCTGTGATGTGCTTCTAATAATATGGAAACACACCTTGGAAAAATTACAAAATTAGCTGTAATCCCCCATCAACATCTCATGGAAAATGAACACGTATAACACTTTCTAAGATCTGAGGAGCTCTCCAGTAGGAAGCAGTGGGATGGGGGTGGGCAGGAAAGGAGGTTTGGGTGCATTTGGAAGGTGTTGATGGGACACTGCGGGACAAGCTGAGATTCATTCCTGAGAAGAACTGAGGAGAAGGGGAAAAACAAAGAGGAAGATGATGTCTTCTTAACATAAATTGAGCCAACTCAAAGAAGCTCTCATAAGCTGGTCCTAGGCATGTGATTTGACTGATTCTATGATATCACAAAGTGTTTAATAGGCATTTTGTGATTTAGAACACCTAAGCCCAGTGGGACATGGACCAAATTACATGAACAGATCTCTTCGTCCTAAGAATAAAGTAGGGGGACTTGGAGAAGAATCAGTAGCCCCCTCTGCCACCATGGGAGCTGGGAATCAAAGTGCAGCAGGTGGGAAATACCTAGTCACCTGGATCCTGGGCCTGGGCCCATAAATTCACCTTTGAGCACATCACATCCATAGGTCCCAAACTGGTACCTGCCAGCCTATTTATAAACATCTTGAGACTGTCAGCTGCCGTTTTTATTCATGTATTTTTTTCCCATTTTGAACTATCTTTAACTCCCTGTGTGTACATATACTAAATTCATGAATTAGAAGACTGTAAGTTAAAGTGGCTCAGGGATTAGCTGGCTTCTTGCTAGTCCATAGGTACAACTGGTCACTCTCCAGGGACTCACAGATTTTGTTCAGCCAAGTATTTTCTGGCTCCAGGCAGACCTCATCAAATTAGCCTAACAAGTCACCTGCCAGCTCACTCAATTTCTTGTTTCTTTGTCTGGCTGGAAAGGGTCATACTGACATGGGAGCTGCAGGACTGACGGTTAGCACTTTAGTACAGAAGGTACAAGGGCCTGCAAGAAAACAGCGAGGAAATGTGAGGACAATGCTTTAGAATGACACCCTGAAGTCGGGACAAAGGCTCATGGGTTATATGTATATCCTGAGGATTGGCACTGCAAGGAGAGGGAAGTGGGAGTATAGGAGATGTGGGTTGCTATTAGTCATGCCCTGCTCATCTTTTATAAAAATATTGCTGTTCTCAGAAGAAAATGATTCACTAATACCACCAGTCTGACACTTCCCCCTAACTTACTGAGAAATAATTTAAAGAATTAAGGAATAATCCAATCTCAGTAAAGAATGTATTCTGGATTGTATGTCCAGTGAATTTGCTTTGATCTGTAATATCAAGAACTATAATGTCAAGCACTGTGAAGTTTCTAAGATTTTATCCTACTTGCAATCTAACAAGTTAACCTGCCACTGTCTCATGGATGCTGGTAGAACATAAGACCTCTAGGTCAGAGACAAAAAAAAAAGAAAAGTTTGTTACTTACAAAAATAACAGTAGCCAGAGTATCATCATTTTTTTGATGGTTGCCAAAGTTCTGTTTACCACAGAATGACATGAAGAGGTCCAAATGATACCTCCTGCATCCACAGTGGATTGTTGTACAAAAGAGGAGCCTGAGTTTTGGAAAACAGAATCTTTTCCAATTGTATAGAAAGTAGCAGCTCCATCTTCAATGCTTCTTGCTATTCAAATGTTTTTGAAGCAATAGTCCAGGAACAAAGGCAGCCAGCCCTCTGTTCTCCCCAACATCAGCCAGTTGTATGGACTACAGACTCTGCTTACAGGGGTCTAAGTTGTAGCCTCAGGTTATTTTGGTACTACTGTACTGTCCTCATGAAGAAGATTCTCTAAGCCCTTGCTATTCAAAGCATGGTCCACAAATGTGCAGCTTGGTAGATGTGTAGATACTCAGACCCCACCCTGGACTGAGGAAATCAGAATCTGCATTGTAATAAGGTTGCCAAGCAATTCTTGTGCACAGTAAATTTCAAGAAGCCCTGCTTTAACTCACTCTGGGCTCAATGAACTCTAGGAGCCTACATAAACACCATGTCATATAAAATGCAATGTGTCTGCCCTCCCTTTGTCCTGGTGGGAAATAGCATCTCTACCTGGGTACTGCCTTTCTATCTGGGTCACATGGGTGGCCAGATGTTCCTTGTTGGTGCCTGTTTCCCCAATGCAATTGTTCCCAGTGCCCCCTTTTGTTTCCAGAAGTATTCTGGTTGGAAAGATAAATTGGATAAGGGTGACCCTGGGACACTTCCCTGGTCAAACTGAGCCTGGGGTAAAAGAATGTTCCTTTGATGGTGAAGTACTCAAGAGGGACTCATGTTTTTAGGGGAGGACAATATTTGGAAAGGRAAAAAAAAACATGTAGTGAGTTAAGGGTAGAAGCCACAGAGACATTAAGACACAAATCCTTTGCTAAGTGATCACCCTTGGCCTGCCTCACACGGAAACCCCTGTCTTCTTGTCTGCCYGCCTTTCCCTTTTTCTTTCTCTCTTACCTTGCAGAAAATCCTTCCAACATCCACTTTATTGAGCAGATTGGTGGACTGGAAGGGAACTTCACGGGGACAAGCCTGCATCTGAGCGCTTCCTTTTCCACAGGCGCCGTCTTCTCTGGCAACTTCTTGGATTCCCTCCTGGCCACTGTAAGTCCATTTAAGCCAAGAAGTCCCCCAAACCTCTTGGAGAGAGGTGAGTGGGTGGATTAAGGTTTGAGAACATCACAATTCACAATTCCGATTTCTCTTTGATTAAAAAAAAATATTGCACTGACATTATTTCATCTCTCCTCAAAACTGCTTGAGGAGAGAAGCAAAATTTTGAGATGATCAAGACTGTAAACTTGAGACCCTGGGAACTTTAACATTTCATGCTAGCCCTTCAGCTTTAAGTGCATCTCCACAGACTAGGGCCTTTGGTTTCAGAACCTTCTCTTCTCTCTACAATTTCCCAACAGCTCTTTCAGAAGTTAGTTCTAAGAGACTCATGGGTTTCATGGAAAAAGGTTTGGCATTAGGTAGTGTGAATTTTACTCAGAGTTAAGTCAAATCTTCCTCCACCACTGTCCCTCTTGTGTGATGCATTTCTGAGTACATGGTCACTGTTTAGTTTTCAGCAGCTCTTTAGCCATAAGGCAGATCCCTAGCATTCATTACAGGATTCCCATGAATAAAATCCACTAGTCATCAAATACCTATCAAACTCCTACACTGTGCAGGGATACAGCAGTGAGGAAACAGACCAGACTCCATCTATGTGCAGCTTGCACTCACAGAAGAGACTGACATGAACATCAATACGTAATGTACAAAGGATGCCAATCACAAAGACTGAGGAAAGATGAGATAGGAAATGTAGGGTTTGGGGAAGTAGTTGCAGATTTCAGTATGTGCCCAGGGAAGGCAGCATGCTGTTCAAGCTCTGGAGGAAAGGAAGATGCACACCACTCAGATCCTTGGGGAAGAAACTATACAGGCAGAGGCCAGGAGGTAGCTGCCCAGACTGTTGAAGGAATTGCAATTTGATTAAGAAATACAGGATCTGTGTATGGCCATTTATAATGACTGCAAAAACACCTGAAAGGAAATACGCATGTTCCACTACCTCAGAGTTTTCCTCCTAAGATTTTTCAGGGGAAGGATTACAAAAAGGTCCAAAGTCCAATATGCACTTGCTTAAAGGAACAAGGCTCTGAGTACAGTTTGAGTGTACTCAGAATGTACTTCTGGAATGCTGTGTAGAAGAGGCACCATTCCTGAATGGTATGCTTGTCTCAAAGCAGTTTGCACATTTAGGGGAATGTGACCAGGACATATATGTTCTTCTCCTGACATCAAGGAAGGTGTTATGTGGCCCTTGACTCTGCCTTTCTTAGCCATAGAAGGGTTTCTCATGAACCCCAGGGAACTCTCAGACAGATACCACTGCTTCAGGAAGAGTTTAACATTAAACAATTTTGTGGGTTATCACGTTTCTAAAGGGTTAAGTAACATACAGCCCCTGACTGAGCCAGAGAGGGATGCATTGGAGGGAATCAAGTCAGGTTACTTTTCTGAGAAGGTGACTCTGTCCGACAGAGTGTTGTATCACTGTCTGTCACTGATATGTCAATTAACTTGCCTGGAATTAATGACTGGAGTGTCAGGCAGAAGGTGACTTCTGATGAACTTGACCTGTCGGCGGATGCATTTTAGATGGGTTTAAGCTCCCAGATCTTTTCAGAAACTCTTAAGTGGCAGGAAGCTTCATGCCTTAAATTAAACTTGAGACTTAATTAAACTCCACTGCTCCACTGGGCCACACAGGCAGAATAAAGCCACAGATTCTATTTAGTCAGAAGGCAGTGTCTTGGTGTTTTATACCTCTATAACAAAATACTGGAGACCAGGCCATTTATAAACAATAGAAGTTTATTTGGCTCACAGTTCTGAAGACTGGGCAGTCCAAGGGCATGGTGCAGTCATCTGTGTGGCATCTGGTGAGGTTCTTTCTGCTGTGTCATCGCACGGTGGGAGGCAAGAAGGCAATAGAGCACATGCAAAAAGATAGAGAGGAGAGGGTCAAACTCATCTTTGTTATCAAGAGCCCACTACTGTCATAACTAATCCACCCCAACAATAATGGCATTAATCCATTTATGATCTCATAACCTGATCATGTCTTAAAAGTCTCACCACTTAACAGTTTTTAGTGTGGAGTGTTTCCAACATATGCTTTGAGCCGGGAGTATATTGAACCGTGGCAGGCAGAATAGATGATGAAGGGTTGGAAGAGTAGAAATAAAGGACATGAACATACAACATGAGCCAGCATAGGAAACACCAACTTGATAATTAAGTCTTGAGCCAGGTGTTGGCACCTAGGCTTAGTGCTGACTTCCATAACGCACCATGAGCGAGCGTGACCTTGACCTTGGGCAGTCAAGATGAGAAGATGATCCCTTGCTAGAAAACAAAATGAGCTACATAAAATCTCAGAAGTCTTTTCTTAGGCTAGATGGTGAAGTCCATGAGAGAGAGACAAAGTCAAGTAAGTGTGCCCTATATTAGGAAGTTGTCACATGAGGTTACAAGCCACGCTGGACCATCAGCTAGCCGTTAAAGAGTCCTGATAAGTGTGTTATTTAGGACTGGCTCTTGGTCAGCTGTCTATGGAATGGTGATGGCAATGGAGCAGCAGGGCAGAAGGCACCACTTATGTCAAGGAGGCTCACAGGGATAGTGAACCTCTCAATACCTATCTGGTAGCCTTCTATTCTAGCTATTACATGTATCTTTAATGATGTATGGCACAGCAAAATGAACACACTGTGATAATGCTGAAACGTTGAGCTAAACCAGACTACCGAACACAATCAGTGAGTGCTGTCCTCTCTTGTTTTCCTTTCCTTGGATGATGTCCTATCCAACCATTCACACAGAAAGAAAAACCAACCTAAGGATGAGGCTGGAGTTGTCCCTGAGCCTCCAATGTCACAGGCTCCTCCCCTCTGGGTACCATTTGATCTTGGCTGGTCTCTGTATCTGACCACCTGGTCACATGGAAATAGCCTCAGAGAAAAAAGAGAACCTTCACCATCATCTACTGGAAATACCAGAATATGCAGATGTTCTCAAACCCTACACTTTATTTCCTTTACATAACAGAGTATCTCCTGGCTGAGTTTGGGAGGAAGCAAAGACATCATTCTTCCCATCTAGTTAGGATGTCAGCTATGGGCTCCATGGCCATCATCCCCTCTAACATAGATCCATGGTAGACATCAACAAGATCCACAGCTCTTCTCTCCTAGATCATACCTGCAAATCTTCCCCACAGTAGACCTCTATGCGACTAATTCCCATAAATTCTGTGGTTGAGATGTTACCAATAACAATAGCAATATCAGTCATAGGAAGAGTAGTATCTTTSAAGCATTTCTCCTGTGCCAAGACCTTGCTAAAGCATATTGTATTACCTTGTTGATTCTCCTGTCAACTCAATTAAGGAAATACTATTCTTAGATTTATTTTATAGATAAAGACTCTGAGGCTTAGAGGGGTAGAATCTGTCAAAGGCTACCTCACTGACAAATAAAAAGTTGTTTTTAAACCCAACTTTATGCGATTCCAGAGACAGACCTCACCACCACAATCAACTGCCCCTCCAGAAACCTAGTTCTTTATTACTAGTATCTTTCCAATGCAAGAATTTTCAGGTTTTTCTTAGAGGAATCCAACTCTCTGAGTGCTCAGAGGTTGCTGAGGAGACAGGCAGAAAAGAGACACAGATGTGCCCTCCCACACTGCTCTCTCCTTGATTAGAGCAATTCTGCTTTTTTTTCTGTGCCATATTTGAGGCACATCTACATAAGATTTCATCGGAAGAAATATTTCTATTGCTAAGAAGACTTTAGAAACCACTCCCTACAAATTAGAATATAACAACCCACAGAAAAGTATAGGAGTATCCTCTTCTCCTTTCCAAGACAGGTTTCCCATTTCCAGTCAGAAGTCCTAAGTGGGAGGCAAGATTCAACCATTCCCTCTATTTTTTTCATTCCTTTTATACTATAATGTCCCTGCCCCAAGAATATCTTAGGGGTTAGGCTCTTCCAACCTGATGCCCACCTCAAGGTACCGAGAGATTGGGTCCCCATGGCTGTACAATCAGTGGGTATAATTAAACTAAAACTGTTTGTTTCCCAGATGCCCACACTAACAGGAGAGCAAAGCTAAGAGATGTCTTCAGAATAGACTCTCCCAGGAAAAGGGGGCTCACACTTCAGCAAACAAACCGTGAAATAAGAGAAGAACACCAGCCTCAACTTTGATCTTGGTGAAATATTTCCCACATGATGTTTATGGGATTGCTTCCTTCCTATATGTACTTGGAAAACTTCATTGTGACTTTCCATCTTTCCCTCCCAATCATCCTTACAAATTCTAAGGAGAATGAATATACAAGTCCCAGGATGCAGCAAAGCCCACAGTAGTGTGTTATGAAGTAGTCGCCACTTAGAAATAATGAAGTCTTATATTTTCACACAAGTTTAAAATCTCTACATTGGAAGGATATTATATATTTTCACTGAAATATAATGGGTTTTATCTCCAAATCTCCAACTGATACTGTTGATACTGTTGACAATATTCCCTGGTATACTACCTAAACTCCTGTCCCGTTTAGAAGAATTTGTCTATACCTAATTCATATTTGCTTTTAAATCTTTATCAGTTCAGTGCTATGAAAACTAAAATATGGCAAGACCAGTCAGGCCTATGTGCAAGAATCCTACATAGCTTTACAACTAAAGAKTCTCATAAATAGACAAGAACTTAGGGAACACTTTTCCTGTACTTGTGAGAAAACTGAAGCCCACAGAAGTTAGATGAAATTCTCAAGGTCTCTCAGCTGGTTAGTTGCAATTTTCCAACCATAGAGCCTCACTTGGAGTTAAAAGTTATTTCCCAAAAGATGTTTGATCTTAAGGCCTTTGGAAAAATCTCAGAATAAAGAACAGCAGATGGCTTCGATATTAGTATGTATACTATTAGGTAATATTCCAGATTATGAAAGAGACTTCATGTTTTATTGCAGTTAAAAGCTTAAACAACTTGGGCTGCAACATTTTCTAACATTGGAAACTCAATGTTAGAAATTCTAGTATTCTAGTACATGCTATTGCATTAGAATTGCAGTCCAAAGTCCAAAAAACATTTCAAACACATTTTAACTTTGAAATTTTCTAGAGAAGGAAAAGAAAGAAAACAAGCAAAGGAGGAAGAAAAGATGGAAGGGAAGGGAAGGAGAGCGGAGAGGAGAGGAGAGGAGAGGGGAGGGGGGAGGAAAAAAAGTGAAGTTGAGAAAGGTCAATAGCAAAGAACTCCAAATAAGAATAAGGAGATGAACTCACCTTATAAGGGTGACATATAAATCCCATTATTTTCCCCAATTTAGAATTGCAATCCTTTTGATGTCAAAACTGAAGAAATGATATATTCAAAGGCTAAGCCTCTCRGTTAAATATGTAAAGCACACGTTTCCCTAGAGCCATCAACAGCAGGATAACCCAAGAATTTACACCTTTTCTTTCATCAGAGGAGAATTATTCTAACAGTATTATGTTTGATCACTCACACTATGGGCCACATGTGCTTAAACGGATTGTGGCTCAACCTGGATTTACATCCTCTATTTCCTCCTGGATGTCAGGGGGCTGATTCCAAAAGCACCTTTCTGGGTGCTAGTGGGATGGAACAAAGAGAAGAAATGCAAGTAGATTCTCCCAGTCCAAGGAATAGAGTGAAGTCATCTTTTAATCCAATAACTATGTTAACAGTTAACATAAGTTTAGAGAAAATCAAAATCCATATAACTTATGTTATTTCTTAAGTCAACTTGTACCAGCCACCTCTACATTTTACTAGCAATACTGGTTTGTTAAAACTCTCCTGCCTATTGTAGTCAGTAAATACCTTTACATCCCATAAACACCTGCCCCATTCAAAACAAGCACTTCTGAAGATGATGTTAAGTAGATTAAGGCCATCCTCTGAGAAAGCACATAATTTCAAGGAAGGATTTCTCTGTTCTGAAAACCAGCAGTGTCAGAATCTCTAGGGTATTCTTTGAATTCTCTCTCCCACTTCCATTCATCAATTCTGATTCAGGAGATCTGGGATCTCATAGATCTGCACTTGTTAGTGTAACTCCAGATAATCCAGGTACATGAGAACTAATAATAAAGGGAATAGAAATTATTAATAGGTAGATTTCATTAAATCCTGCAAACAATGATAGAAGGTAGGTATTGTCATGTCAACTTTAAAGGAAAAAAAAATGCATAAATTGCCCAAGAATACTTGTCAAGGGTGTGACAATACAAGATTCAAACTCAGGCCTATTTCATATAAACAATTAACTATAAAATACAGAAGAAGGAAATAGAGTAAAAGCCAGAGGTCATGGGATCCTAAAGAGAAATAAGCTTCATTCTGTTGAGGAGACCCAAGCTGGTAAGAGATGAACAAGGCGTCCAAAAGCAAAGCCGGAAGAGAAGAAAAGAGTAGGTCCAGCTGCTGCAGACTGACTAGTGTGTGTATTGCAGTGAATAGTTAATGAAGGTGAGCCAAGAAAGGGAGGTGATATCAGATCCCAAGGGCTCTGAAGACCCTAATAAGGTATCTAAGTTTGAGGAAGCAGATRGCATGATCTGATTCATGATTGCAAATGAGAAGAAAACTAAGTTGGGAAAACTAGTAAAAAGGTCCCTTTAGAGATTCAGGCRTCAGCAGGGTATGGTGGTGCATGCCTATAATCTCAGCACTCAGTAGGCTGAGGAAGGAGGATCACTTGAGTCCGGGAGTTCTGGGCCAGCACAGGCAACACAGCAAGACCCTGTCTCGAAAATTACCACCACCCTCATCATTCACCATCATCATCACACAGGCTTCCGAAGTAGAGTACCCGAGTTTGAATGACGATAAAATGAATGATAAATGAATGATAAGAATTCTAGACTAATAACAGTCACTTATATTATTTATTATAAAAATGATTGCTTTCCTATAATTCTTTTTTTCTGTAATATTTATTTCTTCAGGAGTAAAAGTATAATATAGATTTTTTTAAAAGATAGAAAGTTAAGAATGACATTTGCAAATATGTTCATGCCTAGGCTACAGATTGTGGTAGGAATTGTGGAGAAAGGGAGTTCATGAAAATGAACTCAATTCAGACTCAATCCTGTTTCAAAATAATTAGACCCACGTCATCATCTTGTTTCATTTTGATGTCAGTCATTCTAAAACCCCATACATTTACTTATCCAGAACCTATAATTTCTGAAATGTATAATAATAGTCATGGGAAATCCAAACCTAAGTCAATGTCTGTCCTCAAGTCAGGCACAATCAAAAGGAGTATAAGTAGGCTCACATCCAAAATATAGCCCAGGGATAGATGACAATAGTATCAGAAGACCCCTAGGAGAAAGTCTGTAGGGTGTTCCACTAAATACACATTTTTAAAATATATATGTTTATAATTATGGTATCTGTGGCTTAACGTACTCCTCTGGTCATCTGTGAAAGAAAGAAATCCTTGGTATCTATATCATTACCCACTGTCTCCTCCTTCTACAGCATAAGCTCCAAGGAAACAGGATCATGGTCCAGGTTGTTTTCTCTCAGTTGTACCTAACCCAGTCTCCTATCCAAAGTGGCTTTGATAATAATAATCACAAGAGAATTTCTCTGCACTATCTGGTCCATGTCAAACAGTGACGTCCACTGGATCTCCAGGTCTGAACACCTCGACCATTTACAGGCTGGTTGCTCTAACATTACACATGAATTGTCCTTGCTCCCCAGGCCTTCTACAACTACCATGTCCTGGAATTACTTCAGATGCTGGTGACAGGAGGAGTAAGCTCTCAGATGGAACTACAATTGGATAAGGAGAAGTTCACTGGGTTGACYGACAGCTACTCTACGTATTCGTCTGGAAGAATGCGTTGTAAACTGGGGCTTCTGTCCTTAGAGCAAACGATTTTATCAGACATTCAAGTGAGTCTACTCTTATCATACTAGATTCTCTCACTTCCTGAACACTCTGAGTTTCTGAAAATTGTGTTGGCTGTTTGGGTTTATAGATGGTCTACCACGCAGAAATAATAATAGCAGTAACAAAATTAATACAATCTTATATTCATAGATTGTTTTACAACTCAGTGCATTTTCTTGTTATTTTTTGTAGCAATACCAGGAAATAGACAGTGGAGTGGGTTAGTTATCATGACAGTGGACTTCTGGCAAAAGAACTAGTTTAGCCCATTTACCTTCTCTCTTGCAAATGTGCTGTCTTGCCCTTCTACCTTCTGCCATGGGGTGCTACAGCAAGAAGAACTTTGCTAGATGTGGGCCCCTTGACTTTGAACATCTCTTCCTATGGACTGTAAGAAATAAATCTTAGATCTTTATAACTTATTCTGTTACTGTAGCATAAAATGGGCAAGAATACCTAATAACTTTGTACCTTGACAAGGTTATTACTGATAATTATAATACTTAAAGCTTACTAAGTATTTTCCCTGTGCCTGACTATCTTAGATTTTTTTTCACTTAATCTGTCCAAGGATTTGTGCAGTAGGCATCATCATTAATTTCATTTAACAGATCAGAAAACTGAGGTTTTCAGAAGCAAGTGCTTACCTGAAGCCACCATATTTTTCCACAATGTCAGAGCAGGGTTCCATCTCAGGAATACCGTCCCAGGCTCTGACCATTCTTCCAGTAACCACAATGCTAAAGAAATCTGATCAGGTCAGCTGACCTYAGGCAGAATAGCTCTGTGATTAAGTCAAAGAATCACAGTGGGCTAACCAGTAGAAAATGCTTGACTTTTCTTAATCCAGGTTGCTACTGAATGACCAATTATAGCCAAGGGAGGTGATAAGAATTCTGGCAAATTCTAGTGGCGCATCTAGGCATCAGAGTAGAGTGCAGACTGGACATGAATAATCTACTGATCAGTGTGTTGCTTTTTTGTTTGTTTATTGTTTTTTGATGCCAAAGATTAAACCTAGGGGCACTTAACCACTGAGTCACATCCCTAGTCCTTTTTTATTTTTAATTTGAATAAAGAGTTTCAATAAGTTGCTTAGGGCCTGGCTAAATTATCATGGTTAGCTTTGAACTTGCAATTCTCCTGTCTCAGTCTCCTGAACCACTGGGATTCTAGGCATGGGCCACAACTCCAAGCGCTGGTTTGGTTTTGATTAATATTGTTATCCACCTGTCCAGTGTTATTGTTAGAGGCAGACCTTGACAAGGAAACATCTTTTTCTGGTTCAGTGGACATCAGAAAAAATTGCTCCCTTCACAAGGAGTATGGTGTTCCAGGCCTCCTTGCCCAGTGTGTCTCAATATATGCTACCCAAAAGGGCACATCCTATGCTCTTGGCATTGGAAGCCCAGGTACAAACAACTTTCCAAACACTCCCACAGTATTGTCTGATCTTGTGCATTTCTGTGGACCCGGGTGCCTCATCTGCAGTTGACTAGTGAGTGATTTTTATGCCCAGAGACTGCAGCTGGCAACCGCCTGCTGGTATCAGAGAAATAATAGATTGGTCTGCCCATGTGTCTTACCTTCACTCACTTTGCTCTTTTCTTAAGAAATTGTAGAACCGAGCAGACTGTTTTCTTTTGCCCTTTCTGAACCTATTTGTCCTATCTGCTGCTGCTTTTGAACTCATTGTCTATTTGTGATAAGTTTGTTGGCCAGAGCCAGAGACCAAATGTAAGAAGTCATCAGCTGGCAGTCTGAAAGTTTGCTGTGGCCCCTTCGGCTGTGGCTCTCAGCATCTGCTGATAACGCGCCAAGGTCGCGGGTTCGTTCCCCGTACGGGCCACCAAATGCCACAGTCTGGCTGGGCACAATCAGGAGCCACTTGTCAAAAGAAACTAACTTTATTTTTAGAACTACACATGCCAAACAAAACAGCTCCTCAGGAAAAACCCTCAGAGCCCAACTGCCACCACTGGCTTCCCACAAGCCTCTCCACCTCCCACAATCCTCCTGCTCTTGAGGCCGATTGGCTGGGTCACGTGGGCGGAGCCAAAAAAGTCCCCCAATGAGCAGCTCTGTGGTCTGAAAGGGCGGGGAAACAGCCCAATGAGCATCACCGCAGAGGAGCCAATCAGCTAGATGTTGCTGGGGCCGCTGTGAGCCAATCATCAGCTGGCAGTCTGAAAGGGCGGGGAAACAGCCCAATGAGCATCACCGCAGAGGAGCCAATCAGCTAGATGTTGCTGGGGCCGCTGTGAGCCAATCATCATCTGGCAGTCTGAAAGTTTGCTGGGGCCCCTTCAGCTGTGGCTCTCAACAAGAAGTGTGCTTGAGATTGTGATCTCAGTAAGAGTGGGATAAGATGAGTCCTTGGGGGTCATCTAACATCCCAATCATGGACTAACTCAAAAACTGAATTTGGAACCCATTGCTCATTGATAATTCTCAATGATGGTCACCAAATAGGAAAAGTAATAAGAATACACACGTACCACACGCATCCGAGGCTCTCGGAAGAACTTGAATGACAAAAAAAAAAAAAGCAAATAACACAGATTAGTATCTCAAAACTAATCATCAGTTACTATAATTACCAGGTCACTAAACACTATTATCATAAATATATTAGGAAATGTCTTTCAGGCCTTCTAAAGTTGGACAGCAAAAAAAAAAAAAAGGAAAATAACATTTGAATAAGTGCTTGTTATTGCTTGATGAATGTGCCCAGCAGACACGTTTTTCTCTCTTTTTTTTTTCACAGCCAAGAACCACATTTGGACAACTATTCTGTGGCTCATTAGATTGTCTTGGAATCTTATGTGTTGGCTTATACCGCATGATAGATGAAGAGGCGCACAACCCAGAACATAAAAGGGGAGTGTGCTAATTTGAAAAGTGCTGGCCACCCACCCAAGCAGGAGAACCAAAGCTACTTTATATGTGAAAGAGAACTCSATAGCTCAGAGTCCACAGTTATTATGGAAAGATTCTGGTCAATCATGATGTAGGAAGAAAGAAGAATGAGTGTAAACAATAGGAATGCTGATGGTTAAGGTCCAATTAATATTGGCCTTCTAAGGAGGATGGTGTTTGGGACCTCAGTGAAAACTGAAATATGCAGACCTAAATTTTAAATAAGTTCTTTTGCAACCTAACTTCCACCCACGATTGTACAACTTTCTAAAGCTAAAGACATTGTCTGCATTGGAAAGATTTACTTGTTTTTTGCTGGACTCATTTTGTAAATATTTATYGAGTGCTTCTTTCCAACCACTGTGCTTTGTGCTTATAAATCAGGGATGCACTTTGTTCAGATTTCAACTTTATTAGCTGGAGATCCTTCTGCCAGGAGTGTGGAAGAGAGAGGAAATGTATATAGAGGATATAAGAAAAGAAGATACCATCTAGAGATTATACAATTGTTTAGGCCCTAGACAAGATTCTCACAGTGGAATGCACAGTAGTCAATAAAGAAGGAGGAATTAAAAATTATGGAGTGGAAATAGACAATTGAAACCCATTCTAGGAGAAAGAGAAAGAAACAAAACAAGTAGAAGAAAAAAGTCCCTGTAATTTCTCTATTAATAAGAGAAAAGGAGAAAAATAACAGATGCTTAGGAAGACCTATAATATATCTAGGTGGGAGGTATACTTTTGGGGATTTTTATTTAGTACTAAGATTTCTCAGTTCATAGGCATTGCTGAGAAAGAAAATAAAAGTAATTTAGGGAATTGAAGAAAGGTAAGACTTGAACTACTAAGAAAAATGCAATGAGGTTTAACCATGAAGCAATGCTAGACTGTAAAGAGAAAAGACAGTAACACTGGACATCCTGAAAAAGTTAGAGCAGATATACCCAGAGGAAGGAAATGAGAGAGAAGGAATGATGGGGTGTTGTGGTTGGAGAGTGACTTACTGAAGCTTAAGATTTTTGACAGGCAATGACAATATACAGAATGTGGCCCTGAAAATGGTTTGGAGTTAAACCATCATTCAGTAGTAGAAATCATAGAAATGTGTCTGGATGTCAGAGCTGTAAACCACAGAGATACTACAAGCACATAAGATGACAGTGGCCCTGAGGTTTGGGGGGGAAATTATATCCCAAGTGCCAAAGACCTAAATAAACATGAAGGCACTGAGGAATCAGTGGGGAGGGTTATATAACTTTACAGAACTCACCGGGAAGTAAGTGCGTGAGGTGTGAGGTTATGGAAGCAATACTGAGAAGCATACTTGATTCTGGCATGCTCTTTCTCTGCTTGAACTCTAATCCCTGGCCCCAACACCTCAGGAAAACCTGTAGAACGTGGTAATTGAGAAAATATGCAGTTTATACTTGAGAGGATCTCAAGGAAGGAAATGGCACTCCTGTTTCAAATGATATATGTGATTAGGGTAAATCTTGTTTAAAATAAAATAGAGGTTACAGTATTTTCAATGGAAAGATAATAATGGATAAATTATTCAGTAAAGGAAAGTCAGTCATGCATTGAGGGTCCATGTTTAGGAGAGAAGTAACCATTTAGGACAGCAGTGAAGAAATACAGGGTGAAAGTCATAGGAGGTTATCCTCTCTGTGTTCTGTCRTGAACACTAGGTATTAATTAACTCATTTATTAAGGATTTGCTATGTATCTGATATTTTGCTAAGACAACTTGCTTCCCTACAAAGTCTTCCTATGCAAATACAGACTTTGAATTTTCCTTAAGATTCATTGACATTCACTCTTTGCTTACCAGTCAAAGTTTCAAATAGAACTTTGTGTGAAACCTATTTGCATGAGTACTAGCTTATGGTAGGCCTAAGGCAGGATGGAAATATCTGGAATACCTGTTATCTTCCAATTTGACAGAGCCTGGCTCGGTGTTCAATTTTGTACTGACTGAATTCATTAGTGTAGTGCATGTTCAAAGAAGTTAAACCTGGAGTTAGGAAGTCCTTAGAGATCAGCAAACCAAATCACAGTCTTATTCCTTTCCCACTAAAACAGTGAGAATAGCAAACCCCAAAAAGGGAGATTTAATTCCTAAGGTCCCCAATCCCTCCTCTAAGACTTTCTCTATTCGGAGTCCCAGAGATCTTTACTATCAATCAGAAACCAATGAAGCAAAGCAAAACAAAAGCAGTTCCTCTTCTGACCCAGCAAAATGATGTCTTTATTTTGTTCATTGCCTATAACCATTCTTTCCTAGCCACAGAAGCTCAGAATTCATCTTTTATTTTCCTTATAGGTTTGTGATTACCCGACCAGCCAATGACCTTAAGTTGCTGCCTTCAGATCTTGTGTTTTGTGCCATCCCTTTCAGCACTGTCTGTGAAAAAAGGGGTGGTGATTCATCTCAACCAATACATAAAGTTCAAAATATCGTATCAAGAGAATCATCGATGAATGCAAACCTAAGTTATCCTACTGCGGTTGACCCAGTGAGTGAGAGTACKCCACAGAAATTGTTTAGTTCCGTCCAATCTATGGAGGTAAAACCTTCTTTCTTTTCTGAAACTCAACAAGCAACGCCTAGTTTGAGTTTTAGGCTCTCAACCGACACAAAGGCTAATGAAATTGTGAAAGAAAATGAAAAGGAAAACATGAAGGAAACCCTGAAGGAGAATGCACCATAGTGTCCAAGCTAAACTGGACCCATTGATATTCTCCACAAACTTCTAATCTGATACTAACAAGGCATCTCCAAAGATGATGACTTTGAACAAAGAAAATAAAAATGGAAGCATGCCACTTTTGTGCCCATGGCTTGCTGGGTGGTTGACCAGCAAGCCACACTGTTTTGGAAGAGACCAAAATCTAATCTTGTCCCACTGGATCTGGTGTGATAAATAAAGAGATATATGATAAATGCTATTAAGGGAAATTCAATGGTCTATTTCCTTTGAGCAAAAAATGGGCTAGTTTGGGTTGCATTTAAAGAAGTCGTCCAGGTAGAGAGATGCGGATTGAAATTGGAATTAATTTGTTGGTAACTAAGACTTATGTATGTACTGGTACATAATAGGTATATGATAAGAATGACTATTAAAGCATCTTGGAATGGGATGCCTGGGTAAAGTCAATTAGATTGAAATAGGTAGACTTTCAAATTCCCTAACTCAGAAATAGAGACATTATTGCATGAAAAGTTTAAAGCATTTCCCCATAGTTCATGTTCTAAAATAAACCAATCCACTGCTCTTAAACTTCTCTTCAATCAAGCCATTTCCCCTAGGTATTACTCTATTAACACAATAAGCAAAACTTCAGCGCATCTAAGAAATATTCACTACCAGTTGATAGTCTTGGAGTGATGAGTTTGGTAAACAAAGCTTTCTTGCAAAGGGAAGAAGAAAGGAAATAATGAACTATATTTCTCATAAACTATTTTACATAATGTTTACTATATCCCTTAAATATTAGCATATTTGAGGATTTTGTCTCATTACCTTTGTTTTTACAAGGAAGAAAGTGTGTCACACACACGTCACCAAATAAAATGAAACACACCCAGTTAAATTTGAATTTTAAATAAACAACACATAATTTATAAGTATGTCCAAGCTATTCACTTAGCTAGTCAGCRATCAACTCAACATTCAAATGGTTTGACTTGAGCCCTTGGAGACATTATGCCTTCAAATGTACAAATAAAAGAAACAGAATAAACTAAAATAAAAACAAAGACATTCATCCATAGGAAAAAAAATGCATTAGTTAAGCCTTGGCTGTAGCAAAATCAACTCAATCTATATAGAAAAGAGARTAATTGTCAGGAAACAAGGAAATCCTTTTTCCTTCCTTCCTTTCTTCCTCCTTTTTTTCTTAATTTCTAATTCCCTTTCTTCCTTTCTTCTTTTTTATTTTCTCATTCCTTGATTCTCTCCCTCCCATTTCCTCTCTCTTTCTTCACTTCTTTCTTTCTTTCAAGGGTGCCTACATCTTCATCCTACTCTTATTTTATCCTTTCTTTGTTTTTTCATACACATAGCGCAATCTAGTTTCCTATCATTTGAAGTGTATCCGTAGAGTGATGCACACTTAACCGACTGTCTTTGAATCTCCAATAATAATTCCTGAAAATATGTCATGGCCTCAGTTTTGGCCCCTCCATTCCAAAATGCTAACACCTGAGGAGCAGGGTGCCTCTAAAGAGAGTATTTTCCTCATGGAAGGAAGGGAGGATGGCTTGTGGCCGAGGAAGACATGGCACTAAAGTCTACAAAAAAGATAGCATTATTCCCCTTGCCCATTTTATACCATGGGCATTAAAATAGACAAAGCAGGTTTAGCAACAGCAAAATATTCCTGACAAAGAAACTGCGGTTTAGCCCTATGGATATTCAAGATCCACAAACCACTGCTATACATATATTGACCGATTTGCTTAGCACCCCGGCTTCAGTTCTCCTGAGTAAAAACCTCCATGTGACTACATTTCAACAGAGTAGACCAATTCAAAACATAAATACTTTGGTTTTTTTTTATAATTCATAGGAATAAGTTCCAGAAATCTAGCTAAAGTAATATTAAGGTATAGCCAATGTGTGAGCATTCATATTACCACTCTCGATACATAAAATCATCAGAGTACCCCTAAACTCATTTGTCAAATGATTCCATACTCCAGAACCAAATTATTCACCTATAAATGACATTTTAATATGAYTCATACCATCAGATCCTTTAGCAATGTAGTGGATATTTAATTCATAGTAAWTATTTATCACTCATTAAGAGTAGAACCAATATGAAGACAAGGGTAAAAAGACAACAAACACATGCTACAATATTTAAAGCTTACAAATACATGCTACAATATTTAAAAATTGTTGAGGTTTTGGCATTGTCAAAACTGGATGAAAGCTACATATTCCTTACTCAGAAAAAATTTAKGTATGTATATAGTCCACAAAATTTATTACTTAAATAGAAGGCAGGTCATGGATCCACCTATAGTCTATATCCTTGATAAATATTTTCATTAACCAGAAGAAAGGTCACCAGAAAGAACATGGCAGGGGAGTCAAGAGACTTGAATATTTTTTTAAACATCTCATTAATCATTTTTTAAACTATTGGTAAATTATTAAACCATTCTTGGCTACTTTCTACAAATCAGGGCACACAGTTCTTCATTAGAAAAAAAAAAGGAAACTTAGAGTTTTTTTTTTTTTAAATGTGATAAGCCTTTGGTCAAAAAATTAAATCAGAATAGTCATTTGAAAGTTATCCTCATAAATGAGTCAGGAAATTATTTTACTGTTTGCCAAAGGAGAATGGAACTCTAGAAGATTAAGAACACTGCTTCCATATTTATTTATTGAATTTGTATATTCCCTACCACCATACATCAGGCAGGGTACTAGATGCTGAGGAAAAAGTAGTGACCAGGGGGTCAAAAGAAGTAGATGAGAACCAGGACCCTAATTAACCATCAACTACTGGGAGGAGCCACCTCATCTGTGAAAGACTCACTAGATTGCTTTCACTGACCCAAGAAAGGAGCAAGGAGATTTATCTTCACTTAGGAATGTGGGTCCAAAAAACACTAATCATGAGGAMTCTCCAAGCTCATGTCATGAGCTAGTGAAGTATCCACATTTATATCATGTTATGGCAGGAGTTTAAAACTGCATAAATAATGTGAGGAAAATCTGATTGCAAACCAGTGTGATAGTAGGAGCAAATGTGACTCCATTTTGTTTTATGACTTCATCCTGTAAAACAACCATGCCAAGTAGAAGAGTCATGACTGGGGCAAGATGTTTTTTTTCCTTTTGCTATAAAAACCTTTAAGAACACAGAACTACCTAATGGGGCATTGTTTCTGTAACTAGGGTAAAGGGGCCCTGTTTCTGTAGCTGGGGTGATTGGGCTTACTGTGATTGGTTAGGCTTCCCAGTGCTTGACTGCACTGTCCTGCTTCTGTAACCTGGCTTGCTTGCATTGGCTAGACCCCCGAACATCCCTTTTGTGGTTTTCAGGCTTACAAGGAGTGCCCTTGCAATTGTTCAGGGCTGATCAGGGGAGCAGCTTTATGTTCTGGTCAGCCGCCACTAGTGTGCTTCAATAAAGGCTTGATTCGATTATACGTGAGTGGTCTGGAAGTCAGTTCATGAAACCCTGGGACAAAGCTTTAACTATAACACCAGCAATATTCTTGAGGTAACTGGTTGAAAGAAATCTTGCAGGAAAGATTTCTACAACTCAGGACATACAGGACTCCATCAAGAAAAAAAGAAAAGTAAGTTCAAAACTTCAAAAAACAATAATCTCATAGTAGAAAAAGTAAATAAATTAGAAATGACATGAGAAAGTCATGATTCTCATAAGTGAGAGTTGGAAGATAAATCAAACTAAAAGGTTAGCATGACCCCAGACTTTCRATATTAGAACAATCTGAAAATGACCATAAAATTGTTGTATTTAATATGATGAAATTGTTTTAGAATATGATTACAAGTCATAATGAAAGAAGAGGTAACTGTGAAAAAATGAACAGGTAGACTTGAACCAAARTACCAGAAATAATTAAATTAAAAATTAAATTTATAAGTTGAGCAATAAATTAGATAAATATAAAGAATATAGCTAAAATTCATGTTGAAGAGAGAATGGAAAATATGAATGAGAGGTTAAGAGACAATAGATGAAAAAATATGAAAATGTACAATATACAAATCATTCATTTCCACAAAGGGAGAATAAGAAAAATGAAAAAAATCTTGTACAATTTAGAATTAATAAATAACAAGAATTCTATGATTTAAGAAGTCTAATGAATTATCAGCAGGAAACTTAAAACAAATTTACATGTATGTATATCTATATCCATACCTAGACAAGACAGCAGTTTTTTTCTAAGGAGATTGCTACTGAGAAATTGAAGGAGAAAAAAGATAATGGACTAGCAACGTCAAAAATAAGATGGGTGGGGTTGGGGCTGCGGCCCAGTGGTAAAGCACTTGCCTAGTATGTGCAAGGCACTGGGTTCAATCCTTAGCACCATATTTAAAAAAAAAAAATAAATAAAGGTATGCTATCTATCTACAACTACAAAAAAGTTAAAAAAAATAAAAGAGATAAAAAAGTATACTATGCTACCTATGTTGGCCACTCAAGAGGGGAAGACATAAATGCTTATCATTTTAATGGCTGAGAACACATAACTTAGAGACCGTTATTGAAAGAACTAATAAAAATATATTTCAGTAGGAAGAGAATGAACTTTAAAAGATGGAGTAATACTTAAGAAACTATGATGAGAAAATAATTGAAACTTATTGTAAACATATATCAGTTATAGTAATAATGGTAATAACTTGGGAAGAGTTAAAAGTAAATTAGCACTAACAAAGAAATAAGAGAGGATATGAAAGAGATGATCAAGTAAAATTCTAAAATTGTAGCATTTTTCAGAAAGAGCATAGAGATAATAATTGACTTTAACATCAAACAAATCACGTAAACATTTAGATAATAAACCAGAAAAACAGGATATGAGTTCTATATCAGCTGAGAGAAGCTAATCAGAAAAAAAAA